GAAAATATCATTATCCAATATAAATATAGGTTGTATTGTCATCCTAAGCTAAGGAAATAAAACTCAACATAGTATACACCATAATCATGGGTTTGAAACAGCAAGCACTATCCCTGGTTATCTTGTCCCTCTTGACATTCTCCTTGGCAAAAAAATCTCCACAGGACCTTGACTGCCACATGTGACACTGGAAACTACAACATTGTCCTTCTATCCTTCTTGAACAAGTTTGGTTGTCGCAGAACCCCATCAGGTCACACACATTCCACAACCTAACATTGTACTGAACTCAAATATTTCTACACCCAACATGTATGCCTATAGGAGAATTTTTCTTTTATTTTATTTACTTGAGTATCAGAATTTTTTTTTACAACATCTACAGTGGATAGAAAAGAAATGAGACAGGGTTATTTAATTCAAAAATAAACAACAAAAATTAGAAGTATATAAAGTTTTTTTTTAAATGAACAAATTGATTGAATTAATAAATATTATACTAATAGTAATTTATGAACTTCTTGTTATATCTAAGGTTAGTCGTAAAATTTAAATATCAATTAAAATAATGGAATAAATCTACAATTTATCAATAACAAATCAACCGTTTATATTATTTTTAACATGATAAAATATTTTTACTATAATTTTTTTATTAAATAGTTGCTTTCTGAACATGTGTATTGTGGTATACATTCTTCCTTGAAATTAGTATGACTAAAATTCTTAATTTAGTTTTCATAATAATGACTTTAGTGACTAGAAATTGGTTCCTAAACTAGTAGACGATGATTAAACCAGTAGGTGATGATTAGTTGACACTCGTATATTTAATAGACGACTATATATATATATATATATATATATATATATATATATATATATATATATATATATAGTTGTATAATGATAATATTTTATAAAATCGGTTCTCAAATATATATTTTCCAACCTATTAATATATATTATAATCGATGAACTGGAAATATAGATTGTATAAGTTTAGTTCCAGTATAATTGATAGACACTGTTACCTACATGATAATTAAAGTACGGCTAAGCTCTAATGAAATAATTAACTATAATTTATAACAAGGGATTTTTTAGACAATCTTAAAATGTTATATTTTTTATTAAAGGAAAGAAAGAAATAAAATAAATAAATAATAATATAAAAATTTGAAAATGGGTTGTTGAAGTAATGTTCTAATCGTTTTCGATCTCAAAATATTACCACTCTTACAATAAATCACGCTTTGCATCAATCCTCAGCTAATTCACTCACTATAAATAGGGGAAGGTTTTGCATGGACTCTGCACTAAGAACCCACCATCATAGCACCTCTCACTCATAGCAATTCAGCACCATGGCTACCTCAAACAAAAATCATGCCTCACCCAACAAACCCTCTTTCCTAATTCCTCTTCTTGCCTTTGTGACAATGTTGTTCATGTTCCCCAACAAGGTGAAGTCAGCCCAGTCAGTGTCTTTCACCTTTACCAAGTTTGATTCTGACCAAAAGGATCTTATCTTCCAAGGTCATGCCACTTCTAGCAACAATGTCATTCAACTCACCAAGTTAGACAGTAATGGAAACCCTATGACTAGCAGTGTGGGAAGAGTGTTATACTCTGCACCATTGCGCCTTTGGGAAAGCTCTACAGTAGTGTCAACCTTTGAGACCACTTTCACCTTTCAAATCTCAACACCTTACACTAGTCCTCCTGGTGATGGGCTCGCCTTCTTCCTTGCACCATATGACACTGTCATCCCTCCAAATTCTGCTGGCAATCTTCTTGGACTCTTTCCTAACTTAAATGCTTTAAGAAACTCCACCACCAGTAAAGAAACCACTATTGATGTCAATGCTGCATCTAACAACGTTGTTGCCGTTGAATTTGACACCTACCCTAACGACAATATTGGTGATCCAAGATACAAACACATTGGAATCGATGTCAACTCTATCAGGTCCAAGGCAACTGTTGCGTGGGACTGGCAAAATGGGAAAACAGCCACTGCACACATCAGCTATAACTCTGCCTCTAAAAGACTATCTGTTACTACTTTTTATCCTGGGGGTAAAGCTGTGAGTCTTTCCCATGACGTTGAGCTCACTCAAGTGCTTCCTCAATGGATTAGAGTAGGGTTCTCTGCTTCAACAGGATTAGAGAAAGAAAGAAATACCCTTCTGTCATGGTCTTTCTCTTCAAGCTTGAAGAACAATGCGCTGGAGGAGGAGAAAGAAGACATGAATATTGCAAGCGTTGTGTGATCATGTACGTGGATCAATGGCTTTTTCATGTTGCTGTGTATGGTGTGTCAATAAGGACAAGTACGAAGCACAGTACTTGCATGTACGTGTCTGTTTTTCTTTCATAGGGTTGACATCCCTACTTCCAATCATCAACCCTAAATAATAATATAATAATGAATAATATTTTTATATGAATATATCCGATTGTTAAATGGATATTTTTACAAAACATGAATGTGAAAACATTCATGAACTCATATCTTCTTTATTTCACTCGTTCATTATCAAAGAGACATTTTACACTCAATAAGTTCCTGATCTATAGTATTAATGGTATCGATTTTCTCAAGAAATGGAAAGAAATATTTTTTTAAATAACATATTACAATTATTATGTATATATATTAAATTTGTGTATTCACTCTTGGACTAAAAATTTAGTAAGCTTTTCTCTTATCTAATAAAAAAAGGTGACTAAAAAAATTGTTCTCTAACCTTAGATTTTTATATTTGTATAACATTTATAAATACCACTGTTTGACATTTAATCCATCACAATTCGAATTTGAATATTCAATTTTTGTTTTTATATATCATTATTATTGTTATATATATATATATATATATATATATATATATATATTATCTAGAACAAAAATATAACAAGCATAGAGATTATGTTTTTAATTCAAATAATTTACTTATTAATTTTAAAATTCTCATTTCTTTAATTTAATCTTATGTAATAAATAAGTTTCTCATTATTAACCACAAATATATATTTTATATGTGAATTATAATTCAATTGGACGATATTTTAATATAATTATTATTTAATGATATTTTATTCAATTTAAAAAAAACTTACGTCATTTTGAAAATATAAATATTCTACTAAGAGAATAGAATTATTTATGACTTAGATTTAATTGTGCAAAAATACTACTAACATAACTAATTTTTTACTATATTATCACATTTTTTAAAGGGTTAACAAAGTCACATGAGACATTAACCATAGTTCATTCATGAGTTATCTCATCCCCATCAGCACCAGATATATTTAAGAGCCATTAATAACATAAAGTAATAATGTATGGATAGAATTATTAACCAATTATGTATTGTATTAACCATGTCTTCAAATATAGTTGGTTATTGGATACATACTATAAGAAAAACACTAAATAGTGACTAAAAATTCGGTTACTAAGTGACCAAAATCGGTCACTAACTAAAATAATGACCAACTAAAAACGGTCACTATTTCCTTGGTGACTATTTAGTGACCGATTTAGTGATCGAATCAGATGACCGAATATATATGACCAAATCAGCCACTATATCGGTTACTAATTTTATTTTAATTTTTTTATATTATTTGTAAAATAACGATAAACCCGATTAAGGAATATAAAATACATTATATATATATATATATATATATGGTATTAAATATATGAAAATTTCACTACGTAAGATAACTATCAAAATAATACCACAAATTTTATTCTAAATAAATTCGTCATTCATTAATTAAATACTTTCTTACATATTGAAAATTTAATCTAAAAGTAAGTAGAATAAACTACAATAAGAGTCATAATTCTGAATATGTCAAAAACTAACAAAAAAAATACAATATATAAAATAGAATCAGTTCACAATTCAGGAGGTTGAACATCCATCTTCTGTAATTCATCAGGCGGAGAGCCTCCTGCAATAGATCCTGATTGGGAGGCTTCTTCCCATGCACGACTAAACTTTGCCTATAAACATTAAAATAGAATAGTAGTGAATTGGATAAAAACATAAAAAAGGATACAATTGTTTAAGAATCATAGCTACTATAAAAACATGAAGATATTCAATCATGATGAGCCAATGAAACTAAAACATGAAGAATCATAGCTACTATAAAAATAAATGTTTGAGAAAAAGTAAATCAGAACTGTAGAAGTTATTGGTCAACCTGCTGCAAAAGGTTTGGTGATGATATCACTATGCTAACCAGTTTTGGGGTAAATAGAGTTAGCAGCCAGTGGTTAATGCATTTCCACAAATACTGGTATCAGTTTCATATTGACTAAAATTAAATTGGGAAAACAGAATGACCATCATACATCATGTCCAATGATACTAACTATGGGGGAGGGGAATGGTAATAGAAATTCCTTATTTTATACCTTGCAAGCAGTTACGTTAGCTTTTTTGTCTTCCCAGCTATGGACATTTTAAAGCAAATAGTGTCCTAAGTTCAGCTAAAAATGCTCCAGCTAGCAATTCCTACCCATGTAAAACAAAATTCAGATTCAAAAAAACAGAGTGACAGAAAGCAATTAGTACATAAACAAGCAATCTCTAAAAAAACAAAACACTATATTACAACACTCATAAAAAACATTCTCCTATTAATCGCCATTTCATTGAACCAAAGTGAAACTATAAGTGCAAAGCTTGTAATTTCCCCCATGATTACACTACATTTAGAAACCAAAACATTTACAAGACAAAATAACAAAATAAAGAATGAACAAACAAACTCAAGTATGAATAAGTGCATCTTGCCGCAACTTATGAGAATTTGGCATCATAACAACATAGTCTGAATAGGACCCATAGTCCTTAATAACAGTCCAAAACGGCCCATAAGAAAAAAAATAACCCCCAACTCAATCCAAATCCCAGACAAAAGCAATCAATAGTCGAGAACGATAAACTCAACAACAGGTTTCCCCACAGATGCTAGCAATCAAACAAAAGTAAAACCACAAACAACAGAATGCAAAGAAAATGAACTTTGTACCCAATAATGTCTCTGGTTTCGATTTCCACCTGAGATCCCTGTCAACTCCTCATTCACAGGGAGAGGCATTCGGCCATCCCCTTTTCAGTCAATAGTCGTGCGACAAAGCGAGACTGGGATGATTCACGGTGGCCGGCGTGGGGCGAGTCGTGGCCAGGGCTCCGCGGTGGTGCGCTACTTCGTTGAGGGTGACCGGTGAGTGTTTGGCGCAACTGGGCGTGAATCTGGCTTGCGGTGGCTCACGGTGGTGCTAACGGGTATGGGTCGCGATGGGGGTTGCACCGCGCGGTGCTAGGGTTAAGGGTGGAGACCGTGAGAGTGGAGTTTGCAATGGAGAGGAAGGAAGGGTGGAAAAGGCGAAGGCGCGGTAGGGTGATTTGGGGGTTGCGACTCCGGTGAGGGGAGAAGCGGGTTTGGTTAAGGTGTCATGGTGGTGGCTAGGGAGAGGTGGCGAAACCGCAACAACTCAAGGCGCTAGCCATGTCGCGACCGGTTCGATGGTGTAGGGTTGGTGGCGGTGAGGGGTCAGGCACGGTGGCTCGGTGGTGGTGCGACCATAGTGGCCCCGAGCAGCGGTTCACAGTGACTACAGGTGAAGCATAAAAAATAAAGGGAGGAAGATTTGAGTGCTAGCTGGCACCGGTGAGGGCTATGGTGGTGCTGGGTGTGGGCTACAATGGGGATACATGGGTCATGGGTCCTGAGGTGAGGCGCGGGGATCTATGGGTTATGGGTGTTGAGGTAAGGGTGGATGAAGAGTGAGGTGATGGGTGCGATGGGGGTGGCTTCTGTGAAAGGGAGTAATGATGAGGAAAAGTAACGGAGGCGCCGGTTGGAAATGGAGCTAGGGCTAAGTTAATGTACACGAATTTCATAGTTTCTTATATTTTATTGTCTTCGAGAATCAAAGAAACTTTTCTCCGCACATAACCATGGCTCTCCAATGTTTTCGTCATAGAACAAGCGAATGTATAATTAGTCACATAATTTACCACGAGTAATTAGATACATAATTGACCACCAGATGAACCAAGTATAATAGAAGATAAATGCTTGTTAAAAATTATGTATCAACCTCATGTCAGACATCTGCTATTAATTAAAATTTATTCAAAAACAGTAAAATCATGAGATGGGACTCATTAAACAAGGAGATTGTTCTGTGATTCTCAATAATTTCAAATATACAAAACATTAGCATATTTATAACATTAACCATAATATAATCTTCATCCGTAAATTAATAAGAAACTAGTATACATATTACATTTTAAGTAATTAATACAAAAATTGATAATTCCTGCCTAAGTGTATCCATTTTAACAATTTTTTTTTAAATAAAAACGATAAAACTTAAAATTAATTTCTAACTAAATCTTCACGTATTTATGATTAATACTATATTATATTATTATATTTAATTAAATTTTAAAATAAGTTTATTTAATCTTTATCCTTTTATATAAAAATGATTAATATAAACTTAAAATATTTATCCAACTATTAAATTATCCCAGATATTAATATCAATTTAAAATATCAATTTAGTAATTAAAATAATTTTAATTTTTTTATAAATACATTGAAATACATATTATATATATATATATATAAATAAGAGGCTAAATTAATAATTAATTTAATGATTGAATTAGTGACCGATTCGGTGACTAATTTAATAATCAATTTTAATTTTTTTATTCACATGCTAAATTAAAAAACAAAACAAAATAATTATATTACTAAATTATTTAATAAGTTACTAAACTATTTTTTAAATTTTTATAATATTATTAAAAATGTTATCAATTATTTTAAATTATTAAGTAGATTTATATTTAATATATTATTAAACTAATTTTAAAAAATATTTATATAAATGAAAAATAATCATTAATTCAGAGATTATTTGTTTAGTGACTGAAATTTTAGTCACTAAATCAGTTACTAAATATAAAAAAAGAAATCATTAACTGATTCGAGTTACTATTAGTAATTGAATTTTTCGGTCACTAATTTCGGTCACTATTAATCATTTTTCTAGTAGTAACCGAATTAGTGACCGATTCGGTGACCAAATCAGTGACCGATTTCTGTGACTGAAATATTAGTCACTAAATCAGTCACTAAATATAAAAAGGGAAATCGGTCACTAATTCAGTTAGTATCAGTGACTGAATTTTTCGGTCACTAATTTCAATCACTATTAACCATTTTTCTAGGAGTAGTGAGATTCATTTACCCATCTTTCAAAGGAAAGTTTGTGAGCCATTAATGAGACAATGTATTACATGAGTAAATTTGTCAATGACTTGAAATTTAACTGTGCAAAGGAACTAATTTTGTGTTACATTAACCCTGTTTTAGAAAGGTATTAACTAAGTCAGGTTGGCCATAAAACATTGAACACACTTTGTCCATGTGTTATCCATTCCCCATGTACCAAAGTAGAGTTATGACCTATAAATGAAACAAAATATTACATGAAAAAATAAGATTGAAATTAATAGCAAGTACAGATGAACTCTCTCTTTTAACTCAAAGATGTGATTGATAAAATTTCCTCATAAATTCTTTTAGATCAAAATAATAAAAGTAAAAATAAACAAAATGAAAAAAAAAACTTCAACATAAATTAATTTTATTTTTAAAAAAATATTGAAAATATTATTTTATTATCTTTTATTTAAATTAGATATTAAGTAATTTTTTATTATTTTTTAGAATAAGAGAAAAAAATATTAGATTATTATTATAAGAAATCATCTCGTGATTTACCTCTCGTATTGATTAGGGATATATACAAAATATAAACTATAATTAGGTTGTCATTATAATTGACAAGTTATAATTGAGACTAATCTTTTAAGTCGTTATTATTATAAAATATTCTCAAAATAATAACAATTTATTTTAATAAACTGTTCAGAAAATAATCAAAGAGTATGTGCAGTAAGACCTTTGGTGAAAATATTAGCAATTTGATACCGGGACAGAACATGATGGACACAGATTTCACCACGAGCAACTTTTTCACCTACAAAGTGTAAGTTCATCTCAATATATTTTGTGCATTGATATTGTAAAGGATTACCAATAGATAAATGAAACTCACAACATCACAGTAAAATAATGTAGCTTTTTTAATTGGACAATGAAACTCTAGAAGAAGATTTCAAATCCAACAAGATTCGGAAATAACATTAGCTACTCCTCTATATTCAGTCTCAACACCAGAACAAGATAATGTAGGGTATTGTTTAGATGACCAAGAAATCAAGTTATCACCAAGGAAAACACAATACCTAGATGTAGACGGTCTAGTATCCGAACATCCACCCTAATATGCATTTATGTAAGAGAGAAGGTTTCCAATATTGGATTTGTACAAATGCAAGCAAAAATTAATAATACCTGAATGTAACGTAACATACGCTTGACAGCATGAATGTGTTCTTTCTTGGGATCATGCATATAAAAGACATATTTGTTGCACCGCATAAGAAATGTCAAGTCTTGTAAAAGTGAGATATTGCAATGCTCCAACAAGACGTCTACACTTAGTAGGATCCTCGTATGGAATATCATTACAAGCACTAAGTTTGGACTTTGTGTCAACTGGTGTGAGTTTTGCAATTATTTATCCCTGTTCTTTCAATATTTCTTTTGCATAATTTTCTGTGAGAGAAACATATTGGTTGTATAACGGATAACTGCAATCCCCAAAAAATAATTAAGTTGACCAAGACCCTTCATAACTAATTTTGCACTCAAGAATGGCATAATGAAATTTCTAAAAGAATCAAAGGAAGCCACCAGGGTAATATAATCAACATACAACATAGTATATACAATATCGGACTCCTTATGATATATGATGTATGTCATTTTAGTTTTTATTTCTTGATTTAAGAGAATTTTCTAATTAAGCTAATTATTTTATTCATAAATTATGCATTTAACATGTTTTCATTAAAAGCATAACATAATTTAATTTTTCTTAATTTGGTGCATTTTGCATAGTTTTAACATAATAAATAATATACATGCACACATTGATGAAGTTTATCTTGTAGCCTAGATTTCATCAAACATTTGCAAATTAAGTAATGCAATACTAAGGTTTGGCCTAGGTTGAATCATGAAGAGAATTGTTTGGTTTTGTTTCAAATCTTTCTTTTCAATGTCAAAAGCTAGGAAATTTGGGGATTTTTGCAATTTTAGATGCAGAAAAGTAAATTGAAAACAGTAAACCTATACTAAGAAAAAAAGTAAATGAAAACATTTAAATGAAAGTAATAAATCTAAACTATGAAAGCATTTAAACAAAGCATGTAAATGAAAGCAATAAAGAAAGCTTGTAAATCTAATCTATGAAAACTGTAGATTAAGAACAGTGAAGAAATTGTGTTGATTCTCCAATCATAATCTTGCTTTTATGATTATCGTTGATTTTTATAAAATTGTCTTGCAATCACAAAATCCAATCAATTACAACCCAATTGTATTCACAACTCAATTCCTAAATTAAGAAATCACTTAAATCTGAAAGTTGAATTGTGATGTAAAAGAATCATTCAATCAAATAACCTCAATTGCATTAATTGTAGTGGATTATAATCGGTTAGAGTCACTATCAATCAAATCTAAATTATACAAAACAAGTTTTAATCGGTGAATCAACAACAAAAACGAATTAGAACATGATTAACAATAGAAACACACAATATGAAAACAATAAAGAAATGAATGGAAAAAGATGAAGAAAATGAAAACAGAAAGTTAAAGCAAAGAATTAAGAGAAAGGAAACAAATCTGATCAAGGAAAACTTGAATTGATACATTTCATTCATAATTCATAAAAGAAACTCCATGAACAAGACTTGGAAGCTAAGCATCTCTACTAAAAACTAAGAACTTCATAACTGAACTAGAGAGAATCTATTAAATGTATTATGATTTAAACTTAACTTATATTTCTACAACTTTAAAGGTCTATTTATACAATAACAAAAATATATGAAGCGTTCAAGGCCCATTCGAAGCCTATAATTACAAAATAAAACTCAATATATCATTATGTAAAACTTGAATTTTTACTAATCTGCTTAATGGTTTCAAATTTGCTCAGATGATTCTCAGTTAAATTAGTTACACAAGCTTTTTGGACAAATTTTGCTCAGTGGATCGCTAATCTTCGAAGAATAGCTCTTAGGTCAAATTACACTTAGTGGTTCTACGTCCGTTCAACGAGTAAATTTTGAACTTAATATTTTCTTTAATTTTATTAATCTTTCAAAAGAAAATAAATAATTCGTAAAAATGTACAATTTAAGCAATAATTTATATTAAGATATTTTTATTTTCTTTTTACCAAACTATATTAATTATTAGTAATTAATTAAGAAAATATACTAAATATATATAAATTATATTAATAAAATCATTGATAAAATGCGTTCATTAAATAATTTCACACTTAAACTTTTGTTAACTTTCAAGCAAAATAAATAATTAAATAAAGAAGAATGAAGATGAAATATATTTTATCAATAAATCAAGTTAAAGTCAATAACTCAATTATAAAGACTTGACAATCATAA